TCCGCAAAATACTTCAAAATAATAGCTAAACTAATATACAACTAATATTGAGTGAAAAAGAGGAGAAAACCCGAGTAAGGGTTGAGAGAATGGTGTGTTGAAGAGGAGAATGCCGCTGTATTTATAGGGCAGGGTGCGCGGGCGTCCAACCCTCTGGGGGTCCAACCTTGGACGCCCGTACCCTGACCACGTGTTCCATCCATTCATGCTGCGCCGCGTGTCATTCCGTGTCACCAGCCTTACTTGGGCGTCCAACCACCACGGGCATCCAACTCTGGACGCCCAGGACCCGAATCCAGCGCCCATTTTGATTCCAATTGCGGCTTCTCGTGATTTTGGGCCCGAAGTTGTTCCGTACTGGCCCAATTGGCTCCCGGACACTGATTTCTACCTCCAAAGTATTATGATCTTTAAAATCTGAAACTTTTCATCCAATTTTGGTCATAAAATTGACAAATCGACTTAATTTAATTTGGAACCCGTATTTTATTCTTCTTGAGACAAAACATAAGTTTTGTTACTAGTAGACACTTTTAATGGGTAAATTTATTACTATTTTCGTGCAATAACGCTTAAAATATGTAGAATAAAATAAGAACAAAATGAACTTATCAATTTATGATAATTTCATGTGGAATCCCTTTTTATGACTCTTAGAACAAAAATGAGAGTTTTATTCATTGAAATCATATTTTATAAGATGATTAAATACTATTTACTTGCAATAACGTTTAGAATATGATGTAAATGATAAGAACGAAACGGACTTATCAGCACAACAACTAGCAATGTACTCTACTTCTGCTGTAGATGTAGAGATTGATTTTTGTTTCTTACTGAACCAAGAAATAAGATTTCCGCCAATAAATTGAAAAGTACCATATGTACTTTCCTGGTCAACTTTGCATCCGGCAAAATCAGAATCTGAGTATCCCACTAACTCAAATGAGCTGCTCTTAGCATACCATAAACCCATATTTTGAGTTCTTTTGAGGTATCTAAGAATCCTTTTGGATGCAATTAAATGACTTTCCTTTGGCTTTGACTGGAATCTAGCACAAACACCTACTGCATATGAGATATCCGGACGGCTTACGGTAAGGTATAGTAGAGTAGAGATCCAACTATTCCTCTGTAGAGAGTTTGATCAACATCCTTTCCATCTACATCCATATCAAGCTTGATGGATATACTCATGGGGACAGAAACGAATGAATTCTGATCAACTTTGAATTTCTTGATAAGATCCCTTGTGTACTTGGCTTGGTTGATGAGAGTCCCTTCACTTCTCTGTTTGATTTGAAGACCAAGCAAGTAGTTGAGTTCCCCCATCATGCTCATCTCAAACTTTCCTTGCATGAGGGTGGAGAACTTGGTGCAAAGAGCTTCCTTAATTGAGCCAAATATGATATCGTCCACATAGATTTGGAACAAAAGGAGATCTTCTCCATCTTGAAGTTTGAACAAGGTCTTGTCAATGACTCCTTTGATGAATCCATTTTCTATTAGGAATTGAGACAATGTCCATACCAAGCTCTTGGTGCTTGTTTGAGTCCATATAATGCCTTTTTGAGTCTATACACTTGATCGCCTTTAGTGTGTAACTCAAATCCTGGAGGTTGTTCCACATAAACTTCTTCCTCTAGGTTTCCGTTGAGAAGAAGGAGAGGAATAATTCTCTTGATAATCAAAGTTATTGTAATTCTCCTCCTGCTCATAATTATTTTCATCGAAGAATCTAGAGGGATTATTACAATAATTTTGATTATCATAAAAATCACAATAATTATTTCGATAATTTGGTAAATTATCAAAATTATTAAAATTTCTCCCATGATCATAATCATCAAAATAATTATTATTCATAAGAGAATTGTAATGCAAATTGTTTTCAAAATCTTTATCATTACCAAAATTATCTTGTGAACAACCAAAATTACCATTATCATAATTATTCCACCTATTACCATTAAATTGATAATCATTTTCAATCATAGGTGGATTTTCATAAAAATTATTTTCATAATGGTAATTTCATTGTAATCATGAAAAGAATTATTTTCACAATATGGGTATGGCGGGAGATCATTAAAATGAGAATTATAAAAATTATTAAAGCGACTCATAAAAACAAATTAAAAAAATAAAAGGAGCAGACTAAAATTTTCCTGTGAAAATATAAAAACTAACTAAACCGTGCCACTCCCCGGCAACGGCGCCAATTGACGAAGCTAAATATAGCGGTAAGTCAACAAATAACCAAGTTAGACTCGGGTCGTTCTCTCCAGGAGTGATGAAGGGAATAGTTAGTTTTATTATTTATCACAGGTAAATTTATAGTTTAAAAAAACGTGAAATAATAAGAAATAAAGCGTCTAAATTAAATGATAAAATAACTTGAGGAGTTAAGATCGGAATGCAGACTTAACACAATTTAACTCATCTTTTATTAACGATTGGACTAATGAAATTTGTAGCACTTATATTTAATATATCTCCTATTTCTAAGTCTCAATATTAAATATAAGACTATTATATTTCCAGTACATCTCCAATTTTTCAGGTCTCAGTACTGTGCTAGAAAATGTTTGGCTTAAATAATTCTAAATCCTCATAGACAAGGCAAGAACTATTTTCCAATTACTTAATTAATAAAATGTTTAACATTATTAATTAGTTTAAACCATTCCAAACGGTTATTTCTAACACTGCCTATTTCTAGGTGTTCGGAACGTATGGCTTAACTAATCTTTTTACTTCATAGACAAAGTAAAAGATTAATTTCCAAGAATTAATTAATAATAAAAACAATTTTATTAATTAATAAAGATTATTTCATTTTCTAACAATTAATCCATTACTAATAAATAGATGAAATTAAATCGATTAAATCTTAATTCCGAATCCTAACCCATTTAAATTACCAATTCATAATATCAAATAAAACATTCATCATCATTAAAATCTTCAAAAATATATCAATCAACAACAAAGTAAAATTCTATTGATAAAAAGTTCAATAAAGATTACAATAAAAAGTAGAGTAAAACTTACGGTGCTTCAAAGACTTGAGAATTAACTTAAGATTATGAAATTGAACCCACACAATTTTAATACAATATATTAAAAATCAAAAGGAAGTATTTTCACCCCTAAAGAGGGGAAAATCGCACTTGAAGAGCTTGGGAAAAGGGAAGGACGGTCGCTGCAATTTATAGAGGAAGAGAATCGACCGGCGAGCAGACTGGCGGCCGCCAGCCAGCCCGCCGGCGCGCCGCTGGAACCATCTGGAAACCCTGGTCGCCGCGAGCCGCCATCGACAGGCGGGCAGGCAGGCGGTCGCCTGTCAGCCCGCTGGCGCTCTCCTTCGCTGCTGGTTCAACTTCTCGCCGCCACCGCCATCCTGACTGGCGGCCAGGTAGGCTGCCGCCGGCCAAGCCGCCTACTGTGCCGCCCTGGTCCGTCGATGCTATCCTGCTTAAAATCTCGTTCTGAACACTTTTTCCTGCTGCACCGACTTCTAATTCTGTACCGTTTGTGAGATAAAATTGTTTTTCTATTAAAATTTACTCTTTTTACTCTATTCTTGGCCCAATTTTATATATTATTTCAAAGACATTCTTTTTATTATCAATTTACCAAAACATACTCCTTCTGTCCACCATAGATCTTCCCAATAGCCTTTTTTCTTTGTCCACAATAGATCTTCTCATTTCATTTTTTAACAAGTAAAATACCACAACTACCCCCACTTACTTTATTTATTACACCTCACCCACCTCATTTAATACACTCCACCCATTTTTCATTAAGGGTATTATGGTAAACTTTCACCTTTTTTCAACTCTCCTTAAAAACCACCAAAAGTCAAAATGAGAACATCTTAGGCGGACGGAGGGAGTATATTTTTGATAAAAAATACTCCCTCCGTCCCTAAATAGATTACAATCTTTTTTTCTCTCTCCTCTCGATAATTTTTGTTTGTTTACGCGATTTAATCAAGTATTTGATAAAATAAAATATTCTTGTCACCTCTTGTTTTGTAGAACTTTTGACGTAGTTTTTTAATATGTAATTTTTATATCTTATTGATATACCAATTTGTAAATAAAATGATTTCAAAAAGTAGGAAATTTTACTCCGTAACCCGCAATTTGTAATCAAATTGGGGACGGAGGGAGTAATAAATAATTGACTATTTTGATAATTAAAATGATACAAGAACGTATTAAATATGAGTAAAAAGATAAGTACAAAACGGACTTATTAATCTCCTCACACTTAAACGTTGCTTGCCCTCAAGCAACTCATCATCTACCAACACAAGAATGAAGAAGATTGTTTGATTATATTCTAAGATCATACTTCCTTGCAATAATCAGTTAATTTCATTAGCATTAATTACTTCATCTTTTTCTTTATATTCCAACCACTAAATATCTCATCACTCATTTCAAAGATTTGACAATGAACTTATTTAAAAGTTTGCGTGAGTAAGTTTTTCTTTCGAGATACCCTAAGGTCAGTAATTAATAACGATTTTTTTTTGTGAGTTATCCCATAATGCCCTTTTTATTGCTTATGAATTGATTTTTTTTTCTTTTAATACTAATAGAAGGGCAGAGCTCCAAAGGAGATAGGATACTCAATGTAGCACATAAGCGCAAACAATTGGAACAATTGTTTGGATTGTGGGTTTATCCCATTACATATGCATACTTGCTCCCTCGCCTTATGCGATTCACGGGAGAAGCAGAGCTCCTTTCGGAGATAGGATTCCCAATTCGTCAATAAAGCGCAACCCTCACAATTATCTTTGTTTATTTATTTCAATTAAAGAGAAAGTGACCAAAAGACTTATAATCGTTATGTAATTAACAACCTTAAGTTACTCAACTAAAACCCAACTCATGCACAATTTTAAATAAAGGTTCATTGTTAAACTTAAAAATGAGTAAATGATTATTTAATTTATTAGAAAATAAAAGAAAAATGTAAAGTAATTGAAAACTAATTCATTAACTGATTATTGATCAAGAAAATAATTTTTTAGAATATAATCATACCTGATATTCTACCTCCTCACACTTAAGCTGGACCTCGTCCTCGAGGTCCAAATGCGGGATGCGAGTAGAAAAATCAAAGCATGACAATCTTCCTCACACTTAGTGTGAAGCATATGATGAGAGGCAAGATTTTAATGATCATAAATAGTTAAAATTGGCCAAGATTAGAAATAAAAAGCTATTTTTTAATAGAAAATTATTTTAAGTATTAGAACACTTTTTGGTGCGAAAACAACAAGGCCCATTCTGATGGCTTCCGTTCGTTTTCCCTGCAAAAGAAAAGAAAACAACAAAGCAAAGGAAAAAAAACAAGTGCACAGTGTGTGAAAGTGAGAACAAGAACTATTGCTAATTTTATTATTGTTATTATTATTATTATTATTATTATTATTATTATTATTATTATTATTATTATTATTATTATTATTATTATTATTATTATTATTATTATTATTATTATTATTATTATTATTATTATTATGACGGGTTGCCTCCCGTTAAGCGCTAATTTAACGTCATTAGCTTGACGCCATTATTCTTAAACTTGGTAAAACAAACATATCTAACGGAGCACTCTCCTCGAGAGTCTCCAACTTTTTCTGAATAATCGCCGTAAGGTGGCGCAGACCTAGATATTCGTGAAGCCAAGAAATAGTGAAAATCCTATAAAAAGGACTGATCACCCCAAGCATAAAAGATATTCTGATAAAGGTACAAGCTTAGGGATGCTTGACTTCACGAAAGGTGGTTCAAAGAGACCCTCTTTTTGTGGAAAAATCTTCGTTGACTCAAGGTCTCTTTGAATGAGTTTTTCTAAGGGACTCTCTTCAAGATATACATTCTGGTCAAATTCAATAGAGCCCCCTAAATGATTAATGCCCTTGGATTTTTGTAAAAAATCTACCTTAAGCTCACTCTTTTGTTCTCCATTTTCTTTCTTTTCAGAAAACGAACAAACAGGTCCTTGTTCATCTATCTTCTCCTCTAATCTCAACGGAGAAACAATAGAGCTTTCCTCGGGCATTATTCCCTCCAACCCATTATTGTGATTTTCATTATTTACTCGAACAAGAATACCCTTATCAAGCAAGTTTTTCAATGTTTCATGATATTCATTTTCAAAATCAGCCCAAAGATTTTCTTGTTCGAGATAATATTCATTTTCATCAAATTCCTCATCTTGAGGTGGTTGGCCTAAAGAAGGTGTTCCTTCTTGCGCTATGTTTGAATCAACCATTTTATCCACCTCAATTTCCTTATCCTCAAAATCATTAGCTAACCATTAATTTTGATGAATTTTTTTAGATTCATTTAGTTTGAATTCTAATAATTCATAGAGATTTCCAATTTCCTTAAGAATATCTTCTTTTTCATTATTGAAAATCTCTAGATTAGAATCAGGGTTTAGTGAAGAATAAGGAAAAGTATAACAAAGATCACCTTCTTCATTTACTAAACCCTTCTTTTTAAGGAATTCATCAAAATCAAGGTTAGTATATCTCTTTAATTCTATTTGCCCAATTACATTTCTTATAATGCGATCCATATCATTTTTTTATTGATTTTAATTCATTACTAAACGCATCAAAATTATTAATAGGGCAAAATGAGGAATAAGGAGAGGAATAATTCTCTTGATAATCAAAGTTATTGTAATTCTCCTCCTGCTCATAATTATTTTCATCGAAGAATCTAGTGGGATTCTTACAATAATTTTGATTATCATAAAAATCACAATAATTATTTCGATAATTTGGTAAATGATCAAAATTATTAAAATTTCTCCCATGATCATAATCACCAAAATAATTATTATTCATAAGAGAATTGTAATGCAAATTGTTTTCAAAATCTTTATCATTACCAAAATTATCTTGTGAACAACCAAAATTACCATTATCATAATTATTCCACCTATTACCATTAAATTGATAATCGTTTTCAATCATAGGTGGATTTTCATAAAAATTATTTTCATAATGGTAATTTTCATTGTAATCATGAAAAGAATTATTTTCACAATATGGGTATGGCGAGAGATCATTAAAATGAGAATTAAAAAAATTATTAAAGCGACTCATAAAAACAAATTAAAGAAATAAAAGGAGCAGACTAAAATTTTCCTATGAAAATATAAAAACTAACTAAACCGTGCCATTTGACGAAGCTAAATATAGCGGTAAGTCAACAAATAACCGAGTTAGACTCGGGTCGTTCTCTCCAGGTGTGACGAAGGGAATAGTTAGTTTTATTATTTATCACAGGTAAATTTATAGTTTAAAAAAACGTGAAATAATAAGAAATAAAGCGTCTAAATTAAATGATAAAATAACTTGAGGAGTTAAGATCGGAATGCAGACTTAACACAATTTAACTCATCTTTTATTAACGATTGGACTAATGAAATTTGTAGCACTTATATTTAATATATCTCCTATTTCTAGGTCTCAATATTAAATATAAGACTATTATATTTCCAGTACATCTCCAATTTTTCAGGTCTTAGTACTGTGCTAGAAAATGTTTGGCTTAAATAATTCTAAATCCTCATAGACAAGGCAAGAACTATTTTCCAATTACTTAATTAATAAAATGTTTAACATTATTAATTAGTTTAAACCATTCCAAACGGTTATTTCTAACACTGCCTATTTCTAGGTGTTCGGAACGTATGGCTTAACTAATCTTTTTACTTCATAGACAAAGTAAAACATTAATTTCCAATAATTAATTAATAATAAAAACAATTTTATTAATTAATAAAGATTATTTCATTTTCTAACAATTAATCCATTACTAATAAATAGATGAAATTAAATCGATTAAATCTTAATTCTGAATCCTAACCCATTTAAATTACCAATTCATAATATCAAATAAAACATTCATCATCATTAAAATCTTCAAAAACATATCAATCAACAACAAAGTAAAATTTTATTGATAAAAAGTTCAATAAAGATTACAATAAAAAGTAGAGTGAACTTACAGTGCTTCAAAGACTTGAGAATTAACTTAAGATGATAAAATTGAACCCACACAATTTTAATACAATATATTAAAAATCAAAAGGAAGTATTTTCACCCCTAAAGAGGGGAAAATCGCACTTGAAGAGCTTGGGAAAAGGGAAGGACGGTCGCTGCAATTTATAGAGGAAGAGAATCGACCGGCGAGCAGACTGGCGGCCGCCAGCCAGCCCGCCGGCGCGCCGCTGGAACCATCTGGAAACTCTGGTCGCCGCTAGCCGCCATCGACACGCGGGCAGGCAGGCGGTCGCCTGTCAGCCCGCCGGCGCTCTCCTTCGCTGCTGGTTCAACTTCTCGCCGCCGCCGCCATCCTGACCGGCGGCCAGGTAGGCTGCCGCCGGCCAGGCCGCCTACTGTGCCGCCCTGGTCCGTCGATGCTATCCTGCTTAAAATCTCGTTCTGAACACTTTTTCCTGCTGCACCGACTTCTAATTCCGCACCGTTTGTGAGATAGAATTGTTTTTCTATTAAAATTTACTCTTTTTACTCTATTCTTGGCCCAATTTTATATATTATTTCAAAGACATTCTTTTTATTATCAATTTACCAAAACATATATTTTTGATAAAAAATAATAAATAATTGACTATTTTGATAATTAAAATGATACAAGAACGTATTAAATATGAGTAAAAAGATAAGTACAAAACGGACTTATCAGTATCATACTAAGCTCTTGGTGCTTGTTTGAGTCCATATAATGCCTTTTTGAGTCTATACACTTGATTGCCTTTAGTGTGTAACTCAAATCCTGGAGGTTGTTCCACATAAACTTCTTCCTCTAGGTTTCCGTTGAGAAATGCGCTTTTGACAACCATTTGATAGACTTTGAAGTCCTTATGAGCAGAAAAGGCTAGAAATAGCCTTATAGCTTCAAGTCTAGCAACTGGAGCAAAGATTTCATCAAAATCTATACCTTCTTCTTGACAATAACCTTTGGCAACCAACCGGGCTTTTTTTCTGACAACAACGCCATTTTCATCCATCTTGTTCCGGAAGACCAACTTTGTCCTAATGACATGTTGATGAGTAGTTCTAGGAACAAGTTTCCAGACATCATTTCAGGTGAATTGGTTGAGTTTCTCTTGCATTGCATTGATCCAATCAGAATCAGCTAGAGCTTCTTCAATGCTCTTTGGTTCTACTTGCGAGATAAAACATGAAAGCATGGTTTCTAGATTCTGTTGTGCACTCCTAGTGCGAACGCCTGATTGAATATCTCCAATAACTTGTTGAGGAGGATGATCTCTTAACCAACGAAGATTGTGTTGATTAGGGTTGACTGGCTGTTCTAATTCAGCTTCTGGTTTTTTTTAAAAGCATTTTATTAAATAATCAAAGAATACAAACGTCTGAACAAGCGGGAACAGGCTCCTCACTTGTATAAAAAGTAAGCAACAACCAAAGAACTATAATGTGAAGCGCTTATCGGATATTGGAACATAGACTTAAGTGCAATTACAAAGCCGGCTCAAAACATTCCACTTAGATCTAGGAATAAAATCATTCCCGGAACCTCAACCCCCGCAAGGGTAAGGCCTAAGGTCAGATAATCCGATCAAGAAAAAATGTTCTAAGCCAAGAAATGCAATCGACATAAGTCCAGTCAAAAATCCAGAAAAGCCCAACTAAAGAATGAATAAAATAATATGTGCAAAAATAATCCAAGTAAGCCAAGTAGAGCCCAAAACTAGGAAAGCCCAAACCATGAAGGAAGGCATGTGTGCTAGCCCAAATCCGCATCTGGATGGATTGGCACTGGATCGCCATTTCCGGAATTGTCCCCATGTGAGTGATTTGGTATATTGGAAGGCTGGTCATGATTTCCGGTAGGCTCAGCACCGTCTGAATCCGGATTTCTCTGTGAAGTCTTCAGTGGTAGACTTCCGAATGGAATGAACTTCGTAGGCTTCATTCTATCTCCTTCATTGATTTCTTCATCTTTGTGTGAGAGATCTAGAACCTCATGATCATGCTTTAATGGCTTGTCATGTTGGAGTTGTGCCCTGATGGCCAACTGTTTATCGTTATTCTATCGTGTATAGGCAGATATAATATGTTTACGCATCTCATGCTAATGTAAACAAATATTATATTCCTAGATTTATACTTAAAGATGTTTATCAGATAGTGTTATTCTGCTGATGAGACTAACATCTTGAAATAAATATTTATCTAAATGTCCATAGTCGAGTACTAACGAGAGTGGGATATCGTTAATGCATGTGAGACTAGTGTGTGTTGGATGTTTGACTTAGTCTCATAGTCAATGACAGTGTGTTCGCATCCGCACATGGGCAGATATTATCTAGAGATAATAGGATGCCGGACTGACCCATCCTAAAGATGTTGCTTGAACTTTTAGTTCATGATATAAGCATCTTTAGCACGACCACGAGTGTAACTATCCTTCGACTTGAAGTATTATGTTTTCTGCATATGTGAACCCGCATGCTTTGATGCATTGTCCTAAGCCATATGAAATAAGGATGGTATACATGCTTTGCTTTGGGTATGCCGCAGCGCGTATTCAGAAACGTAGATTACGTACATAGAATTTGTCACTACTCTTTTTAAAGAGATTAATGTCTTATGGGGCCCACTAATAAGTTATGACTAAGGAAATTGCATGGCCATGCTGAGATGCTTTTATGACGTCTGTTCCTATTAGTCACACTTGATAAATCAGTGAATGACTTAATGGATACAAGTTGGATTTTATTAATCCCTTGCATTAAGTTTAGACATTGAGACAAAGGGATACAGTTACACGGAGTCTGAGTCGTGGAAAGGTTTTGACGGTGCAAACGTCTTAACTTATAATCTGGGGGCAATAATGTGTTGCTAGATCTCGCTTATTGCTTATAGTATTGGTGCAGAGCCAATACTGTGGCCAGCTTTATAAGTGCCTATACGGGTCACACACTTTGAACAATTTAAGGAGTAAGATTAAACAATGGGATAATAAGTAATTTGTATATTTGTAAAATAGTAAAATAAAATATTTTAGAATATAATATTATATATATAAATATTCGGTTATATATATTATATATATGTACCGATTAATGTATATATATTATATGTTGAATATTTTATTTTGGTTTGTCATTTTAATTATGAAAATAATTATCTTGACATAAACTATTTAAGGTATATTTGTATACTTGTTTAAAAATGATATGGGTATTTTTATTTGATTTAAAATAAAATTTTTATATTAATTTTTGGTGTCAAATAAAATACACTTTGAACATTTAAGTGGAGAAGAATTTTGAAAATCCTTCTCACTTTCTCAAATCTTCAATTACAACCATGTGATGTTTATGAGGACAAAAACACTTTTGACTTTGCATTTTAAAGATGTAGGAAATTTCCTAATTTGTCATTAAGTGTATAATTGTTTTTAAATCCTCTTTAACACTCCATATAATGATACAACACTTTTATTGATGTGTGAGAAGAAACATTCGGATATACCATTTAAGAGAGAGAAATATATTAGTTTGGTTCCATTAATATCATTTTGTGTGTAGAAAATATCTATAATATTTTCTAAATATTATTAGAAATATTTTCTATAGAAATATACAAGATTATTATTATCCCAATTTTAATCTTTATATTTTATACTACTATAATCTTTACTAGCATAAAGATTGTGGTAGACTCCGGCATTGTTCGTGTGTCAAAGTTGGAGACCGGACGCTTGAACGGTTACGTTTGCACTTTCAACGCTCTTTCTACGACTTCTTTGTTTCTACCGCTTACGGAGAAAGGTATAAACTTCTTACTCACTATAAGTTTTAGTACATGATTCTGGGCAAGATAATCATGTTAGGATGTTAAAATTTTTATATTCCGCTGCCTATCCTTGCATGGTTACCTTTCATGTCAACCACATGTTTTTCATCAAAGATGACATGTATTGACTCTTCAGTGATCATGGTTCTTTTGTTGAAGACTCTGAACGCTTTGCTCACCATAGAATATCCAAGGAAGATGGCTTCATCTAATTTCTCATCAAAAGTGTTTAGATGACTCTTCCCATTGTTTAACACAAAGCACTTGCTCCCAAAAATATGGAAATATGATATATTAGGCTTTCTCCCATTCCACAGTTCATAGGGAGTTTTGTTGTGCCTTTTATAAATCATACTCCTATTTTGAGTATAGCAAGCTGTGTTTACAGCTTCAGCCCAGAACCTCTTTAGAAAGAAAGCTTCTACCAGCATGGTTCTTACTACTTCCTTCAAGGTTCTGTTCCTTATTTCAGCTACACCATTCTGTTGGGGTGTCCTTGCTGCTGATGTCTGATGAAGAATTCCGTTTTCTTCACAGTAATGAATGATGATTTCATTCAGGAATTCTGTGCCTTTGTCAGATCTGATCTTCTGGATGGTCTGACTTGCTTGGTTTTGAATCAGCTTCATGCAGTTTGTGAGCTTCCCTTGAGTTTCCTTCTTGCTGTTGAGAAAGATTGTCCACGTGTATCTTGAGTAATCATCAACTACTACTAGGACACATTTCTTTCCACTTAGACTTATTGGAGTAACAGGTCCAAATAAGTCCATGTGAATAAGACTTAGTATCCTTGTAGTTGAGGGTTCCGGTTTTGCCTTGAATGTAGACTTGATTTGCTTTCCTTTATGACAAGCATAAAAAATGCTTTCCTTCTTGTACACAGCTTTGGGAAGACCTTCTACTAGCCCTTCTTTGGACAGCTTGTTGAGAGTTTTGAAGTTGAGATGACTCAACCTCTTATGGCAAAGCCATAGAAGGTTAGAGTCACCTTTGCTGATTAGGCATGCTTCCTTGACATCGTCCCACATCACTTCATATATGTTTCTGATCCTCTTCCGAGTGAGAATGACTTCATTTGTGGAGACGTTCTTGAGGGATGCCATGTCCTTGCAGAATTCCAGAGAATAACCTTAATCAAAAAACTGACTTATGCTAAGAAGGTTATAGTTGAGACCTTCCACATAAGATACAGCTTGGATGGTTAGTCCCTTGTACACCAGATTTCCTAGCCCTTTAGTAAGGCCAAAATCATTGCTTCCTCCAAAAGTAATTCTTGGACCATCATAGGGAATTAGATTGCTCAAAAGACTCGCATCACCCGTCATGTGTATGGAACAGCCACTGTCTAAGTACCAGACACCTGGGTACTTAGTGGCTTCCTGCATTAGGAGGAGGAAGGTTTTGGTACCTAATTCAGTTTGGGTCCGAATAGTTAATGGTGTGTGTCCCTACATCAAGTTTGAAGTTGCAGGGAATTTTCCTTGCAGCTCTAAACTTGTTGGGATTATAGTCATAATTGTAAGCATAAAACTTCCTATGTGCAGGTGGTGCTATTTCTTGTTTCCTCCTAGCAAACCTATGTTGATAAGACCTATAGTTTTGTCTAGGTTGTGCATAGTGTGACCTGTGACGGTTGTAAGTATACTTAGATGGAACAAATAGTTTCTGGGGTGGAGGATGACTATATCTTGGCATAGTTCACCACTCAGAATTTCTTGGAAAACTCCTATCTACCCCATAATGAGTATAGCCTTGTGTATAGTGGGGGTTAGAAGGTTTTCTTCTGAAATTGTTTCCTTTTTGAGGTGTGTCCAGTTTCCTATAGTTCTTAGGAGGGACTACCTTTTTGGGAACTTCTGTTGGTTTCTCCTTCTCCTTACCTTTCTGCTTATTGGGTTTGGCACTAGGTTTAGGAGGGATAAAAGTTGTTCTCCCTTTTCTTTTGGAACTGGAGGGGTCAAACCCAAGTCCTTCACGGCCCTTATGTTTGGTCGTTTCAAGAAGCTTATCCACTGCTTCTTTGGACTTCAGTATGCCTAGCTCCTTGTTGAGGGATTTCACCTTTTCAGAAAGAGATTCATTCTCAGCCTTGAGTTGAGTAATCTCACTTAGTTGACCTTTCCGACCTTCAGTCAACTTGAGATTCTCTCCACTCAATAGCTTGTTTTCCTCTGTTAAGGATGAGTGTTTAAGATTTATTTTCTCAAAATCTTCCATCATCTTTTTGAACTTGTCAAAAAGACTTTCAGAAGTTGGTATGCTTTCAAAAGAAGATGAACAAGAGGTTTGTGAAGTTACCTCTTGATCAGCATCATCCTTGGCCATTAGGTAGAGAGTGTCATCTTTTGACATGGTCCACCGGTCCTCATGGTTGGACTTCTCAGCTTTGCACTCCATGCAGACAAGGGCTTCTTCATCCGAGCTTGAACTGGATGACTCGTCACTTTCAGCTGCCACCATTGCCTTTTTCTTCTTGTCGTTTCTTTCTCTTTCTCTGTACTTTTCTACTTTAGGGTACCGGCATGCTGGCTTCCAATGGCCAGGCTTCCTGCAGTTATAACACAAATAAAATTCAAGAGGAGAGTCACTTACCTGTGGCTTTCCCTTGGATGGCCTTCTGAGTCAGCTTTCTTGAAGAACTTCTTGAACTTCCAGAATTGTTTGACCATCATGGCAAACTCCTCATCGTAATTCTCCATTTTTGAGCTTGGTGGCTGGCTGGATGAAGGGGTGTCACAGCTCCTTGGGCATGTCCCTTCGCTTGCTGGGACTCTGGGAGTTGTCATCAATACCGTGGGAAAAGCAGTGACTTGTTCTTCCTTCTTCTTCTTCAGCTTGTGCTCATAGGTTCTGAGCTCATCTAGAAGACCTTGGACTGTGTAGTTCTCCAGATTTCTTCCTTCTTCCATAGCTGTGGCTTTGGTGTACCACTAAGTTAGAAGGGACCTCAGTAATCTTACATTTTCTTTTGGAGAAAGAACGTGGTTAAGTGATGCAAGATCATTCAAGATTTTGTGGAATCTTTCATCCAACATATCAAATGATTCTCCGAGAAGCATTTTGAAGCTTTTGAACTTCTCAAGCAGAACCTCTATCTTCTGCTTTCTCAGGTCCTCTGATCCCTCACACAGCTTTCCAAGACCTTGCCATATGTCCATGGCAGTCTTGAGATGCTTGATCTTGGAGAAGGTGATGAGATCAAGTGTCTTGAAGATGGCTACTTTGGAGACGTTATCCAGATTGTGCTTCTTGCAATCTCAATCATCCCATTTTTCCTTGGGCTTTGGAATATACTGGACTACATCTGGATTGGTTAGATTCCTCTCAGGATTCTCTATTTGGATTTTCAAGGGTCCATCTTCAAGCACCATCCAAATGCAATCATGTAGAGTATAGAGGTGTGCTTCCATCATGATCTTCCAATCATCATAACCTAGAAGAGAGAACTTGGGCAAACCGTGATCCATATTGTTCACCATTATGATCGCTTCTCTTTAATCTAAATGTAGATAGTGAGAAGTTGGCTCTGATACCAATTGGTGGTCCCAAAGTGGTGAGATACAAAGTCTAGAGGGGGTGAATAGACTTTGTTACAAATTTAAAAGTTTTTCGTTTCTTTTGAAAACGTGAAAATGAGTGTTAATCTAGAGTTCTTGTGAACTTTATATTGTGTGTGGAAGTTGGTGGATTAGTAGAGCAGTGATCAATATGGATGTGTTAGTTTCACAGTTAATATAATTCCAAGTATGAGCAAAGATAAGAGAGACACGCAAACTTTAACGAGGTTCGAAGGTGGGGTAATCCTTCTACGTCCTCAAAATCCACTATGTAGTTGGTTGTTGAATGATGAACCAACAATTACACTTGAGTGAATTTCTGCACGGTATATCTTCGCAAGGCCAATGTTGCTACTGCACTCGTGCTGGCTTTGTTGTTCCTTCGAAGGTCACGCTTCTTGAACAACTGCAAGATCCGAACAATAGGACTTGCAAGATCAACTTGTAGGAAAGTTGATGTACCCCCTTTTTAATCAAGAAGTTTGATTAAAAGTTGTATCCTTTAGCGTGGTGTGGTACTTGAGGCAAGGAAACTTTCAAGTGTTTACACTATAGCTCTTTGGAAGGAGGAGAAGTTTGCTTCTGGATAAGGAGTTTAGAAATCTCTCTTTATCAAGCTTTTTGGCTAACTATGAATGAGATAGCTTTGTTCTCGTTGATGTTAGGTTGATGATTGATCAGTTGTGTTCTGTATCTTTCTATCTCATCATTTTCTCCAGTCTTCCATGGGAGCTATATATAGCTGGATTGGGTAATCTATCCGTTGAATCAAAAATAAACTATCCATTGCATTTGCTGGCTTCAATTTTGAATGAAGATTGTGATTGAGGATTCTTCATTGGAATGGGTGTTTGGACATACCTAATTGTTTGAGGAGGGATTCCTTTTTCCACAGAATCTGTCTTCTAGTTGTTGTTCAAGAATTCTGGACTGTAGCTCTTTATTGAGTGGAGTACTCAGTTTGTCTTCTAGTGCTTGTTTAGGAATTCTAGGCGAGCTCTTCAATTTGAGAAGTCCAGACTTTGTCTTCAAGTCATTTGTTCTTGAATCTGCTTAATTATCCTCAATCTAGCCGTTGAAAATCAAGATATTGATTTTTCCTTACCAACGGGTAGAATTTCTTCATTCAAGACTTAGATAATTTTCTAAGCCTTTTCTCACTTGTCTGCTTCTGAGAATTACGGTCTTTCTTGAGGCATCCGGTTCTTCGCTGACAAATCCGGAAAAGTCATTCATAGACTTCCGGGTGAGAAAGATATCCGCGCTAGTCTTCCGATCCAGATGACTTAGCCTTTAGAGGGTTGTTGCGAGACATCCGGTTACCATGTAGTGTTTCGGATTGGAGGATCTTCAAAGTAATCAACTTCTTTGAGAATTCCTTACTTGTCTCTGACATTTCCGATCAAGATATCCAATTTCCGTATCACTGAATTTGATTAAGTCTTCAAAGATTGACATCAAATCACATAGTGAAATATCACAATTTTATTGGAAATCTCAAGAACTCAGTTTTAACAATATTTCTAAAAAGAAAACTTACATTGAATATTTTGGGGATGACCTAAAGTCCCTATTACAATCTAAATACATCATCATCAAAATCTATAATATTTTTCCCAACAAGTACGACCGAGGCGGAGGCCCTCATCCAGAGGGTCGAGATCACGGCTGAGCAATTTAAGGAGGTGCTGGTAGCTCTGACGCCCAATCGCGAGATTGTGGTGGAAGACGCGACCGGAGGACCCGCAGGCAGGAAGGCTGGACCTGCGGGCTTGGGGGGAAAGAAGAAGAAGAAGGTAAGGAGGTCCAAGAAGAAGAAGGCGACCAAACCCAACGGGAAAGCAAGGATGGAGGATGAGCTGTCCAGATTGGACGAGGAAGATTAGTCGTCTTCCTTTGAGCGGGGGTAAACCTTCGATCGGTTGGGGGACCTCAAATCAAAGAAGCCTCGAACCTCCGCGTTCGATCGCTTGCAGGACACTCGGTCAGCTCGCAAGGGCGACCTGAGGGAGACACTCAAGGAGAGGATGGGAGAGTCCTCCGCAACTTCCAAGGTCGGCTTAGAAGAGCGACGAAAAGCGGTCGAGGACAAGGAAACAATCGAGTTATGGAAGATGTACGAACGTCTAGAGAACTGGTTGGATGCCCAGAATCCGTACCGCCAGGCAGTCTTCACCCTTCTCTAGAAGGATAATGTCATGTCCTCTCCCGGACAATTTTAAGACTCCACAGGTCAAAGCATACAATGGGACGACCGATCCCCAGGATCACCTTGCTCGCTTTGGGGAGAATGTGGTTATGTATGCATACCCCGAAGAAATTAAGTGCCGATGCTTCCTGGCAACATTGGAAGGGCAAGCTTGTGAATGGTTACATAAGTTGCCCAAAGGGTTGATCGACAAGTGAAACAACCTGGCCCATAAGTTTCTGGAACACTTCGCGTCTAGCCGGAGAGAGAAGCTCACGTTCTCACACCTGCTCAATGTGAAAATCCGGAAGGGGGAGCAGCTCTGGGAGTTTATCAACCGGTGGGAGAAGGAGGCTAGGGATGTCCAAGGGGCGGACGACCAGGCCTTGATCACTATGCTCCAGGCTGCACTCCCTCAAGGGGATGTGCGCAAGGAGCTGCGACGGAATCCGCTCTCCACCTACCAGGAAGTGCTAGCCAGGGCGAAGTATCTGGCACTGGAAGAAGAAGATGACGAGCCACCTGTCCGAAAGGAGAAGAAGAGCGGACATCCGGTGGTAGAAGGAAGAAAGAGGAAAGACTTTGGTAGGGGACCAAACCCTACAGGATATCAGGCGAGCAGACAGCCTGTCCATGCGGTACAGTCCTTACCCGCCCCTCCTTGCAGTCAGGAAAGCTATGGCGTCCAAGACGCACCCAAGTACTGCGAATACCACCATAACATCACCCACAACACGTCGGAGTGCGTTACGTTGAAAAAGGAAAAGGATCAGCTGATCGCTAGAGGGCCACCTCCTCGGCCGGAGCGACCAACATCAGGTAACCGGACCTGGAGGAGACCGGCGGCCCCCACCGCATCGATCACAGCAGGGGATGGGCAGGAGGACGGACGACGACATCTGGGGAGAGATTGCGACGACCTGGATGAGGAAGAAAGGCGGAACCGCCAACACTTGGGGTGTCGGTTCATTATGGGCAGCAATACCGGAGGGTACTTGGCGTCCTCACGGAAGAAGTGGAAGAACATGGTGCATCTAGCCGAGGTGCAAAGTCCACCGCTACCCAAGCGGAAGAAGAAGGAACCCCTGATCTTCACAGACAAGGATTATCCACCAGTCCTTAGCCCCCATCGGGATGCATTGGTGATAAAGGTGGAGATCAATAATGTGGTCGTCCACCGCATGTTGGTCGATACTGGCAGCTCGGTCAACATCATGCACAGCAACACATTTAAGGGGCTGGGGTTGTCCAGGAGCGACCTGAAGCCAATCCGTACCCCGCTGTCAGGATTTACGGAGGACACTATTGAAGCAGAGGGAACCATCACGGTGAAGGCTGGGGTAGGAGATGGCACCCACCGACTCTGGCTCGACATGAAATTTATGTTAGTGCAGCTTGACTGTGCACACCATTTGATCCTTGGGCGACCAGGTCTGGAGGACTTTGAGTGTGTAATCTCCCCCGTCCACCTGTGCATGAGTTTAACACCCCCACCGGGGTAGGAGTAGCTAAGGGGAATCAGAGTTTGTCCTGGTCGTGCTATGTTAGAGCAACCAAGAGTCAGGCAAGGATTGATGAGAATGTCAGCACGATCTGCGCCGCCATACAGAAAGAGGAGGGGCGACCCAGAGTAGAGCCGGCGAAGGAGATAGAAGAAGTCGCTTTGGACCCGGCTCTAAGCCAGAGCAGAAGGTGAAGATAGGTAAGACCCTGCCATGTAGGTTGAAGGAGCAGCTAATGGGCGTCCTTCGCTCCTTCAGAATATTGTTTGCCTGGGGTCCAGAGGACATGCCCGGGGTCAATCCAAAAATCATTTGCCATAGGTTGGCAGTGGATCCGACCCATAAGCTAATCAAACAGAAGAAATGTTTCCTTTCCTCAGAAAGGAGAGAGTTTGTCACCAAGCAGGTGGCAACCCTGCAATCCATCGGGCACATCCAGGGAGTCCGTTACCCAGAATGGTTGGCAAATGTAGTCCTCGCACCCAAAGGGAACACCTGGCGGATGTGCATCGATTACACCGACTTGAAGAACGCTTGCCCGATGAATCCTTTTTTATGTACCCCTGGATGGCTCCACCAAAACCCCAACTCTGCCCACATATCCAAAAGTATTCTTTCTTTTCTTTAATTCAAAATAAAGTCTTTCCCATCAATTTTTAGTCAAAAATGAAATCAAAGGAAGACAAGTCAAACCTTAGTTTCTTATTATCTTTTAAAACCTTTGTTTCTTTTCAAATCCTTTTTTTACCCAAATAATGCCTTCCCTTCTTTTCTTCTAATACTGATTCTGAACCTGTAAATAATCGATTATTGTTGTTTGATAATCGACTATTGTAGCCCTCTGATTCTTCTTCAAAATCTGCAACATCACATAATCGATTGTCTTGCAGTGTCAATCGACTATCTGGTTCCTCTGAACATTTCCAGTTGAGCTAAAGCCTAATAATCGATTTACCAAATGTGCTAATCGATTATTCCATAGCTCTGAATCCTGAGTGAATCTGTTCCTGTTTGCTCATCCTAAGATTGGGTATAAGGCTAAAATTATGTCCTGATTTTCAACAAAGAATAAAGCCTTTTCTTCCACAAAACNTCTTGTATTTTTCCTTATTTGTTGTTGTATAAATACTTCAGCCATGAGGCCATTGTAAGAACCAGATTATTGAATTAAAAACCTTGTTTACTCTTTTGAGTAATTCCTTTAAAATAGTGTGATGCTATTTTAACCAAATTTCCTAATGAAATATTTCTAAAGTTGGCTACTTTTGAATGCGTGTTAGGAGTCTAATTTTATACATTAGTAGTGATTATTAATGTGTAAAAGAAGATAAAAGCTCCAAGTTAAGATAAGGGTGTGTCATATCTCTTAACACCAACTTGGTTTATCCCTTCACTTTATTTCTGCCCATTTCATTCCTCACCATTTCTTCTTCTTAAACTTATTCTTTTCTCTCATTAAAAACACCAAAAAGATCTCTTTCCCACACTCGATATTTCATCCCTTCAGTTCTATCATCCATTTCCTTCCGCAAATCCGCCACAAAATAGCTACTCGATAAGACCCCGGGTCTCGGGTACAACACTTTTCTTCTCCCCAACATTGATCAGTTGGTGGATGAGACGGTAGGGTGTGAGCTGATGAGTTTTATAGATGCCTTCAGTGGATACCATCAGATCAAGATGGCCACGACAGATGAAGAGAAGACCGCTTTTTTTTCCAGGCAACCCTTACTGAGTTTTATTAAGATCTATTCGTCACCACAGAGTGAGGGGACGACCAAACCAATGCCTAACGCCAGCCCCTCATACGGAAGACATGCCTTCCGGGGAGTACAATAAGTAAAGAAAGGATGGGGAAGCCTAGAACAAGGCTTGACCAAAGCCACAAAAAGGTCCTAACTACCAACATACTAATCTAGGGCTTGACCAAAGCCACAATAAGGTCTAAACATACGAAACCAAAACTACGGCATGACCAATGCCACATACGGTCAAAACAAACAAACAAACAACCGAAACCAAAGCATTACCAAGGTAATGTGTCATTAAAAGGTCATGAGAAAGAAGAATGACAACACAAGAGGAGTGGTAATCATCTCCAAAGGGAGGAATACAAACCCATCCGAGTCAACCACTCCTCACTTCACAAACCATACATACCAAGACTAGGAAAACATATTATAAGCGCACCTATAATATCCAACTTCTCCTTAGCCCCAGTAGAACAAGTAATGGTTTAAAAACCTCCTAACAGAAAGCAAACACTATCCCCTAGCTGATAGGAAAAGGAAATTGAGCGCACCTAATATCCAAGTTCTCCATATCCCTAGAAAGATAGGACTGCATAATCAAGTCGAAGTAAAAGCAGCAAAGCTAGGAATGCGTTGAATATCATGTTGGCATAACACTTGACAGTAGGCAGGTAAATCAAAAATATCACAGAACTCCCAACTTGGATGGAGTTGATTATTGCACCACTTAACTAAATAGTTTGTGACCCTATTAGCCTCATGCTCACAGATATGTGCTGTATAAGTACAACAAGATAACAGAAAAGCCAACCTGCTGAAGTTGTTCATAGTAATTAGAGGAACAACAAGGTTAAGAAGCTGCACCAGTTCCTCAAAGTCGGCCTCAAATTGAATTTTGTGTAAACCAGCATTTAAACAAAAAGGAATAATAGCAATTAATATCTCAACTGCTGCCTCCATTTTAGTTAGCATGCCCCTGATGCTTTGTGCAAATAGAAAAGTCCCTGTAGAATCCCTAATCATAGCTGCTGCCCCACTTCTATGGTTTGATTGCAAATCTTCCACATTAAGTTTGATAGTGTGCACGGGAGGGGGGTCCCAAGAGACTTTTTTAAAATGGAAATGTTTGGGTAAAACACCTTTAAGTTGAAAAATAGCTTTCCAGTCAGTAAAGGAAGTGAAAAGTGAGGGCCATTTCCTACAAACCACCTCTGTTGCACCCATCCTCACTTTGAAAATAACACAAGCCACATTAATTTGCCCCTCCCCATACTTTTATGCTACATAGTGAACCCATAGTTCCCAAAGTATAAGCACTGGAATACAGTGCTGCAAATAAGTCGTGACCGTAGGTCTCTTAGAGGGTATTTTTGGGCCCCACCAAGTGTCTAAATGTTGAGTAACAGAGGCTGCCATGTTATTCATTCCAAATATATCATAGAAATATTGCCATACATATTGAGCTATATTGCTTTGTGAAAAAACATGCTCAATAGTTTCAAGAGAGGGAGTATCACAATATAAGCATTTTGAAGGCAAATTATAACCAAACTTTAATAGAATGGAGTCCAGAGGTAATTTCCTGAGCAAAACTCTCCAACACAAAAAGGACATCTTGAAAGGAATACGAGTATTCCAACACTTCTGAAGTTGTACGGACGTCTGACCATTGCACCCCATGAAATGTTTAGCAGCCTTGAGTGTAAAGAGGCCATTAGACCTAGGCTTCCAAATGGCTTTATCAGGTTTGTTAGTTCCCAACCCTGACAGATCCACATTAAAGTGGAAAAAGAAACCTGGATCCATGAGGTTTTGTAATCGACCAAAATTCAAAGTATTATTCACCACATACTCTTTGAAAGGAGGAAAAAGAAATCTCACATTCTCCTAGTTGGTAATACGAGCTAAAGCTCCAAGACCTGTCCAGTTATCCCACCAGAAGCTCAAGGATCCATCATATATCTTCCAAAATATGTAGGGTTCAATAAGGTTTCAAATGAAGACCATCCTCTTCCATATGTGGGACTCACCATGTTGCCACACCTTAGCAACAGGGTGAACTCTTTGACAATATTTGGCTTTCATGAATTGAGTCCATAAGGTGACAGAGGTTCTAAAATTCCACCACAACTTGGCACTTCAAGCATCCACCATGGTCTGCATTCTTGTAAAGCCCAAACCTCCTTCTTTTACACGAAAGCTCATATGCTCCCATGAGCTCCAATGGTAGTGCTTTTTCCCAGCAGATTGGCCCCAAAAGAAGTTTGAAAAGCTCTGCTCCATTTTACTAAAAATTGTTTTGGGAGGTTGAATAGCCGAGAAGAGATGGGAAGGAAGAGCTTGCAGCACACTCTTAATGAGGACTTGTTTACCACCATAGGATAATAATCTCCCCTGCCATCCCTCACATTTTTTTGATATTCTCTCCAATAGTGTGTTAAAATAGCACACTTTTAGCCTGCCTTTATATATTGGACATCCCAAATAATAGAATGGGAAAGGTTGGTGTTTAACTGAAATGAGATCAGCCACTCTTTGAGTGGTGACAGTAGCGCTCCCATGATGCATATAAAAGGAACTTTTTTGTGTGCTCACCAATTGGCCCGAAATGTGCTCATAGAAATGCAGATCCTCCATAATTTTGAGGATAGAGTTCCTTCTTCCTGAGGTGAAAATTATCATATCATCAGCAAAAGCTAGATGACTAATAGTTTGGATGCCTCTAGGTTGAGTAAATGGGATAATTCCTTTACTATGACTTCTGCGTGTGAGAAGGTTGGAGAGAAATTCAGCTGCTATAATAAATAGACCTGGAGATAAAGGATCACCCTGCCTCAATCCCCTAGAGGAGGTGAAGAAACCTTCCCTTTGGCCATTGACAAGAACAGTATACCATATGTTGGAGACCATTCTGAACACCATGTCAATCCATTGTTCACAAAAACCCATTTGTCTCTGGATTTTGTTGAGAAAGGCCCAAGAAACTCTGTCATAAGCCTTAGCCAGATCGAGTTTCAAAAAAATATCCCTGTGTTGTAGTTGCATACCATGACAGAGTTCTTGAGTTAGCAAAAGCAAAATATTTTCAGTTATAGACCTCCCTTGGATGAAACCAGATTGAGAAGGGGAGATGATATGAGGAAGAACACCAGCCAATCTTGAATCTAGAACTTTAGAAATAATCTTGCTGCTGAAGTTGCACAGACTTATAGCTCTAAAATCAGCAAAAGTATTGGGGCTGTCAACCTTGGGCAGTAGTATAATGGCTGTATGTGCAATGCTCTTAGTCATATAGTCACCAGCAAAGAAAGCACAAACCATAGAGTACACATCCAAGTGATTAATATCCCAGCATTTTTGATTAAACAAACCAGTAAAACCATCGGGACCTGCAGCACTGTTAGGATTAAGAGAAAAAACTGCTTGTTTAACTTCATCCATAGTAGGAGTGGCAACCAACTGTACATTATCACTTGCAGAGACCAAACGATTAATACGTGAGAGAGGGCTGTAATCAATCTCCCCCCTTTGTTCCTCAGAAAACAGTTGGTGGAAGAACTCAATAGCTTGAGTAGAAATTTGTTGATGATCCTCAATCCAATTACCATCTAGGCCTTTGATTTTATGAATATACAGTTTCCTTCTTCTGGCTTTCACTAAGGCATGAAAATATTTAGAATTTATGTCCCCATCCACAACCCACTGTACATGAGCTTTTTGCTTCCAAAACAATTCTTCCAAGTGAAGTTGGTGTAGATATTGAGCATCCACAGATTTGAAATGCATCAAGTTCTCATCAGTAGGTGCAATCTGATAAGTTTCCTCAGCTTCCTGGACTTTTTTCTCCAAAGCCTCAAGTTTAGTGAAAATGTTTCCAAAGACCTCTTTATTCCAAATGTTCAAAGCTTTTCTGGTAGCAAGTAGTTTGGTAGAGAATTGGGTCATGGGTGGACCAGAGCTCTCCATAGACCAGGCTTTTTGAACAACACGAATAAAATTAGGGTGAGTTGTCCATGCATGGAGAAAAGAAAACTGTCTGGGGCTTTTAGTTTGAGTATCACAAGTAACAGAGATTTGCATATACAAAAGCCATACTCACAAGTTGTTGGTTAGAAAGTTTAAGAACATCCACATAGATTACCTGTTCTTCATCAGCAATGATACTAAGCTGGTATGTGTCCTTCCAGAAAATCCATATCTTCCCTTGACAACCAACAATGTGATGAGGAAAACCAAGGTGTCTTCTAGTAGTTGAACAAGCAGCATCTGCTCCCCTAAAAGGCTCAATGAGACAAATAATATTAGGATGATATTTAGATACCAGATGGTGTAATCTATCAAGGGACCCTCTGGTAAAAATCCCTCTTACATTCCACACAAGTGTGGAATCCATCAATTAGTTTGAGAAGGGGAAGAAGTTCTGGCCTTGCCAGACTTCTTAGCATTAGGTTGTTTTGGTGACTTAGCTTTTGAAGTCCCCTTTCTAGTATTTGCAGCAGGAGTGTCAAGAGGAGTATCATTTAAGAGTTTTCTTGCTTTATCATCCAGTATTGGAGAGGAAAAAGAATCTTCTTCGCCTATTGGACTTAAGTAACCTTCATCAGACCACATCTCCTCAGTATCTTCCTCTATAGTTTTTGGACCAGGGTCAAGTTCCTCCAACATAGCAATTTTGTTAGATGGAATAGTATTTGCTGAAGTGTTTTCAGCACTCTTCAATTGTTCTGGTGGGTGGGGTATAGGTAGGACAGGAAATTGTACTCCATGCTGATCAACAGGTTGTAGTTCCAGCTGTTGCAAAACACCAAGGGCAATTTGTGAAGGGTGGAATTCAGGAGCTTTGGGGTTTAGAACAGTTTGATCTTCAGATAAATGTTCCAGGATACCAAATGAATTAGAATGTGTGCCCAAAGGGGGTTTAGGGGCTGATTGTGGGAGCTGACTTGAGAGGTTTTTGGGAATAATACTAATAGTGGGAGTTAGAGCAAATTGTTTAGGTTGCTGTGATTCCTTATGACCCAAGGTCTTGGTAGTAGTTTTCTGTTGATGGTGTTGTTTTTTGTGTACAACTTGAAAAGAAGTATCCTGCCCAGGTGCTGGCGTTGGATGTGGAAAATGGTTTCTAGTTGCGGTTGTCTCTGAATTTTTGACATTTTGGACTTTAGGGACATACTTCATGCTTTGTGGGATTTGGTGAGAGGGTGCTTTACTTGTATCTGGCTTGGATGTGGTTTCCAGCATAACATATTTGCCTTTTCTGATCTTCTCTGCCCTAATATGCTGTTCTTCCCCCAATTTACATTTATCAGTTGAGTGACCTTGTTTAAGACATTTGGAACAGTAGAAAGAGATTCTTTCATATTCTATAGATTGATAAAACCCCTCATCCTCCCTTCTAGGAGTCATTGAAGTTCCAATAAAGACCTTTTGAATAAGAGGCTGCATTAAGTCCAATTCCACCCTGACCCTTGCAACATGGGGCCTAGATTTGTTCAAAGTAGCCTGATCAACCCCCAAAACTTTGCCCAATGGCTTGCATACTAGAGTAAGTGTAGTAATATCAAAGAAATGAATTGGCAAGCCATGCAATAGAATCCAAACTGGAGCAATTGAAGTTTCTGTTTCTGTGTTGAAATCCAAGGTTGATCTGAAAAGTCTCATTGGGTTAGCTCCATTGAAAGCAATTTGATTTTTTAACAAAATATCAGTGCAGTCTTGGCTATTAGTGAAGGTATGAAAAACATGTCGAGGACCCCTCAATCCAATTGTAACTTGACCCTTTAGGACATACTGAGTTGCAAAGTGCTTCCTGATAACTTCCAGTTTTGGTTGTCCATGAGAAAATTTTCCCACAAGTGTAAACCTATCAATTCTAGATAGGTTTTCAATCTCTTCCTCTGCAAACCTGATGGCAGGAGTGTCTCTGTGCATTATCACATTTCTGTCTGGGAGTTTTGCAATCATATTACCCAAAGAGGGAACAGGAGCGGAGTGAGGTGCAACAGTTTGAGCATAACTGAGCTTCGGTAACACAACATTAGTCTTACCATCCAATTGAGTAGTAGACTTAAACTGTGAGGGAGCTTGGCTTTTGACAGTGGGAGGAAGTGATTTAACAGCAGGGGCCTTAGAAGAGGAGGCAATATTTCCAACATCAGTAGGGACTTTAGTTACAATAGGTTCCAGAATTTCTTGAGCACATTCAGGCTTATAAGATGAAACAGACAGAATAGAGCTAGGACTATAACGCTGAACAAATTCTAATGCTTCCTCAGTTTTTCCCATTGCCAACAAATGTTTAACATAAGTTCGAAATGCATTAACATAATTCTCACTAGGAGTTGAAGCCATTTTACCATAGCCTTTGATTTCTGCAGACAAAGGGGGGAAGTCTTCGTGACTGATATCTTCAACTTCAACAATTTTAGCAATGGGATTAGCCTTTAGAGGGGCGATTAAGCTGGAGGATGCCTCAGGAACAAGTGCTAAGGCTTGTAGCTCCATTTTCGCTGAGTTGTGAGTTTGCATATGCGAATCCAAAATTTTGGATTTCAACAAATCCGAAGTAGAATCTGTAATCACTGGTTGAGAGACCTCCATTAGAGGTAGGCGATGCCCTGGAGGGTCATCTTCCGCCATGGAAGCGCGCAAAACTGTGCAAATCTCAATCGCAGCTCTAAATCTCTAGAAGTGCCGAAACTCCACCAAAATCCACAAATTAAGCCAACGGAGGAGGTCGCGAGGGGGCTTTCAGGGCGGTCACCGGTGATGGGATCGCCGGTGATGATCGATTTGGAGGGAAAAGATGTTATTCACACAAGAGAAGACCGCTTTCATAACCCCCAATGGGGTATATTGCTACAAGGTGATGCCTTTCGGTCTAAAGAATGCTGGCGCGACCTATGCACGAATGGTCAACAAGCTTTTTGCGCCAGTGTTAAGGGGATGCACGAAAGCATATGTGGACGATATGATCGTCAAATCAAAGCAGATGGAGTCTCATACCCAGGATCTAGAAAGAGTGTTCAGGATCATGAAGAAGTTCAAGCTCCGCCTCAACCCCAAGAAGTGCACATTTGGGGTTCAGGGAGGTAAGTTTTTAGGGCATATGGTCAGTCGAAGGGGGATCAAGCCCAATCCAGAGAAGGTGAAGGCAATTTTGGAAATGGAGCCTCCGCGGAATGTGAAGGAGGTCCAACAGCTCACAAGGAGGATCACTGCTCTCAGTCGCTTCATATCGAAGATAGCTGATCGAGCGGCGCCCTTCTTCCAAACCATAAAGAAAAGCAAAGGTTTTGTTTGGATCGAAGAATGTCAGCGGTCCTTTGAAGGATTGAAGGCGTACCTCCTCTCACTGCTCGTGCTTTCGAAGCCGGAGCCCGGAGAGACTTTGTTCCTGTACTTAGGAATCTCTCATCGGGCTGTGAGCTCAGTGCTTGTGAGAGAGGAGGAAGGTATGCAGCACTAAGTGTATTACGTGGCCCGGGTATTTCGAGGGGCGGAGCTGAGATATACTAACATGGAAAAGACCATCTTCGTGGTGGTGTGTACAGTGAAGAAGCTCACCCCCTACTTTCAAGCACACCCGGTCCATGTGCTGTCTCAAATTCCGATTGGAACCCTCCTTCGGAGCCCGAACACTCCGTCGCGTGTCAGCAAATGGGAATATGCCTGGGTTCTTTCCAGATAGAATTTAAGCCGCGACCGGCGATCAAGGGGCTGGCCTTGGTGGACTTTGTGGTAGAATGCACGGCGATGGAGGTAGAGTCCAATGGAGAAGAGCCCGAGGGAAACTAGTGGACCATATACACTGATGGCTCGTCCGCGACTGATGCTTCGGGGGAGGCGTCGTGGCATTATCACCAGAGGGTTTCAAAGCATACTACTCTGTAAGGGTCCGGTTTAAGGTCTCAAAAAATGAGGCTGAGTACGAGGCACTACTCTGCGGTTTGAGGCTGGCAGCATCATTGAAGGCCAAGCATCACAGGAGAATTTGAAGCCAAGGATGAGCGGATGAAGAAATACAGAGACACCGCATTGGAGTTGCTTAAGGCATTCAGGGCGTACCGGATAGAGCAGGTCCCTCGAGAAGAAAATGCCGAGGCGGACATCCTATCAAAGCTTGGTCCAGATTCCCCGGATCATATCAAGGAGATGACCCAGGAAGAAGAGTCACTACAAGAATCTCGCGTATAAGCTGCAAAAAAATAGAGGGGGATATTTCCGCCTCTAATTAGGTGCAGAGCAGAGGGGGAATATGCACCCTCTGTTTTATTAGTGGGTAACATTTCCGCCTCTAGTTTCGTAGCTAATTGAAATAAATTTCAATTTTATTACCGGGAGATTAAAGTTAAATAAAAAATAGCGGGAGAAATAAAAATTTAATTTTTTTTTAAAAAATATTCGAATTAGAGGCGGAATAATCCCACACTAGTATCAAACACAAAAGAGTCGGACTTATCCCTCGCTAAACCCGTAAATTTACAATAAAAAAAGATGGAACTAGAATAAGGGTAATATTTCCCCCTCTAATTCAAAAATAAAAATAGTGTGGTAATTTTGTGTGGTATGTATCTCCCCCTTATCCCATTAAGGAAAAAAAAGCCTCTTCTGTTTCTCCCTCAAAGCAGCCGAGGAGTGACCCGCTAGCTGAAGCAGCTGCATGTGAGAAGCCGCTGAAGTGAGAAGCCGTCACCCCCGCGTCGCCGACCGCCGCCACTCCGCTCTCTTCTCCGCCATCTAGCAAGCCGACGCTCAGCCTCCCCTCCAATTTCTAGGTTTTAACTCATCTTGAAATTACTCTAATTGTTCAATTATGTGAATTTCTTTTCTTGTCTCTTGAAAATTCTCTAAATTCTTCAATTATGTGAATGAAAATATTCTAATTGTCCAATTGTATGGAATTTTATGTTTTACTTTTGTTACCCCAATTTGATTTTTGATTTTATATTTGTTGGTATATTCTTATTCTAATTGTTCAATTATGTGGAATTCTTTTTGTAAATCAGTTTTAATGATGATTTTTTTAAACTAAAATAATGAAAGAATCAAATTTTATTGTGTCTTGGTTTTTGTTCCCACCTACCAGTTTTAAAGTAGGTTTGATTGTACAAATCCGGAGAGTTTTTTTAAAGTTGTAGTTTTGAAACAACAAAATATTATCATGCTTAGGTTTATTTATTGGTATTTGGATATCTACTTGTCACATATCGTACTGTATTTATTACCATTATATTTTATTTTTATACTCGCCCAAAAATAAGGTTCCCATTATGGAATACGAATATGTTTAAATAAATTGGTATTAAGATGCAGAATATGGATCGTACTTGGATGTATGAAAGACTTTATCCAGGGAGAAAAGGGTTGAAAACTGAATTCATTGAAGGGGTGAAAGAATTCGTTAGAAAAGCAAAGGAACTTCCACAATTTTTATCAGAGGGAGGGATTCGATGTCCATGTGTGAAATGTGAATGCATGAACATATTAAGTGAAACAGATTTAAGAGCTCATTTATACAAATATGGATTTTAGCCTAATTATTGGACTTGGACAGAACACGGGGAGGATAAGCCACTTTTTGATATTAGAGATGACTCAATTGATTATGATTTTGATGATTTAAATGAATTTGAGATGATGGATCATATGGTTTGCGATGCTCTAAGACAAGTAGTTGATGATAGTAATGAAGTGCATATTGAGGAAACACCAAACCCATCATGCCCAAAGTTTTATGATATCTTGACGACTGCTAACCAACCAATTTATGAAGGGTGTTCCGAATCACCATTATCTCTTTCTGTTAGATTGTTGGCAGCAAGGTCTAATTGGCATGTACCCCAAAAGTGTGTGGATAACTTTGCACAAATGTTGGTTGATGTTTCACCTACAAAGGATAACATACCCAAAAATTGTTATGAGGCAACGAGACTAGCTTCAAAATTAGGTCTGAAGGTTGAGACAATTGATTGTTGTGTGGATGGTTGCATGTTGTTCTATAAAGAGGATAAGAACTTGGATGCTTGTAAATTTTGCAAAAAGCCTAGATTTAAACCACAAAGTCATGGGATGGGAAAGCATAGAAGAGTTGCGGTGAAAAAGATGTTTTACTTTCCCATAAGGCCTAGATTGCAAAGAATGTATGCATCTAAAAAAACTGCAAAACTTATGACATGGCACCATGAGAACAAAAACGACAACGATGTTCTTCGACATCCATCTGATGGTGAAGCATGGAAACACTTTAATATGTGTTATCCTGACTTTGCGGATGAACCGAGAAATGTCAGACTTGGCTTATGTGCAGATGGATTTACACCATACATTCAAGCTTCTGCACAACCATATTCTTGTTGGCCTGTAATTTTTGTTCCTTACAACCTCCCTCCTGAATTTTGCATGACAAAACCATACATGTTCTTAACTTGTCTTGTTCCAGGCCCGAAGAATCCAGGTGTAAAAATAGATATATTTTTACGACCCATGGTGGATGAACTACAAGAATTATGGATTCATGGTGCTTTGACATATGATGCTTCCAGAAAAAAGAACTTCATGATGAGAGTTAGTCTAATGTGGACCATTAATGATTTTCCAGCATATGGTATGTTATCTGGCTGGAGTACGCATGGCAGATTAGCATGCCCATATTGCATGGAGGATACAAAAGCATTTTGGTTGAAATATGGGAGAAAACATTCATGGTTTGATTGTCATCGACGGTTCTTGTCTAAAGACCACTCGTTTCGAAGGAGTAAAAGATCATTTAGAAGGAACACTAAGGAGAAGGAAGGGCCACCATTTATTTTTGATGGCAACCTCGTGTGGCAAAGTGTTCAGGACTTACCACAAGTGTACATTTAATTTGTACCCTTATTTTTTGTTTGTACTCATCTTTTTTCTTTCTTCACATGTGACTGTGTAGTTGGATTCCTTCAAAACCCGGCGTCAAAATGATAGGGAAATCAATTAAGAGTGCTTATAGAGAGCCATGGCGTACCTGGTGTTCCATGGCGTACCGATGGAGGGAAGTTTGCCAAGAGTTTTGAAGGGCCGTACATCATAAAGGAAATGTTCGCCGATGGAACCTTCAGACTACAAACACCAGCGGGAGGCGACGTCTCGCGGGTATGGAATGCTGCCAATGTTATCAAATTTTATCAGTAGATTTTACTCCTACCATGTTTCCCCTTTGAGTTTAATAGAGTCAGTAGTTTTGGCACTTCTCTTCTTGAACTTCATTGCAAAAAAAAGGAGCGACCAAAGAGATCGCTAATGCGAGCTACATGCTGATTCGCACTAAGATACCCATCAAGGGATGAAGTGCCAAACCCTGTTAGCGACCAAGTCTAAGGGCTATCGGAAGGTGCTTGATCTATGGTCGCAGGGGCGACTATAGGACAACACGCCTAACAGAAGGGCGACGCCGTGGCAAGAAAGCCTAAGAAATGGCTAAGTCCAGAACATAAGATCTAATGGTTACATGAGCGACCAGAGGACTTGTGAAAAATATGGCGACGCCATGGGAGCGAAAAGGCCCCCAAAATCGAGGATTGAGGAGACCTGAACGCTTGAAATAAGGTGCAAAAGAAGATGGGACTTGTAAGTAAACAGGTAACATCGAAGTACATTCATGAAAATATCTATTACACTTCAAGAAACCCCTTTTGCATCTACACATCCAATACAAGTGAGAACAACTTCCATTCTACATACATCCAAAAGGGGAAATTCTCCCATACATCTCTCATACAATACAAAAGAAAAAGAAAAATCCAAACTTTGCGCGGCTGAAGCCCGGAAAGGATGAGGAATACAATGGAAAAGGCAAGGTTGAAAGGTAGTTCTGCAGCTGTGTGGGCCGACAGAACTCCGATCACCGGCCGTCCAGAACGAACACCTTTCTTCTCCGACATGGAACAGAGATGGTCGCCCCTAGCCTGTTAGGGGTGAAACGGGGGTCTTATCAAGTTGATAATTTAGTGGCGGATTTAGTGGAGGGTGTTTTAGGAGTTATTTTTGGTATTTTATGGAAGAAAATAATAAGATAAAGAAGGAGAAATGGGGAGGTAAGAAATGGAAGAAAATCAGGGATGGATAAACCAAGTTGGTGTTTAAGAGATATTACACACTCTTATCCTAACTTAGGGTTTGAATATAGAATTTAATTAAGATATGACACACTTAATCAAATATCTAGAACCTAAAACTCATACTTAAGATAACCACTCTTAAGATATAGAATTAGGAATTTGGCTAAAATAGCATCACACTATTTTAATAATACTCAAAGAGTAAAATGTTTTAATATTCAAAAGGTATGTTACAATGGCCATAAGGCCTGAGTTATATAGGCAGGGGAAGAGGGAGACTATTCAAAATACATTGAATGTAAACTTAGGGAAGCTTCCTTGCAACAATCTCTTCCAATGCATGGAGTATTGGCCATTCATTCATGTCTCCTTAGTGGAATAAAATCAGGGATGGGGCTAGGGTTGTGGGGGTTTGTGTTTTTGTTCCTAGTGGTTGTTTCTTGGGTTTTTATGGCTATTATTTAGGTAAAAATGGGGGTTGTTTTTGGCTAATAAAAGGGGGCAGGGATGGGGGATATAATGTGTGGTTTTGGACTTATAAGTTTGGGTTATTTGTAAGGGAACATGGGCAGGAATGAGTGGCTAGTGGTGGGTCAGGGTTTTGGCTCTTTGTGGGTGTTTATGTTGGGATTGTGAAGTGTATTTTGGCCAGGGGGTGAATAGAATAGAGGGAGGGTTTTATTTGTTGAATAAAAGGCTTAAAAGAAGGAAAATAACAACAAACAAAAGGTTTTATTTTACGCACCCTTATTTTCGGCCATGGGGTAAAATAAGTGTAGGAAAACTTTATGTTTGAAAGGAATTAAATCGAAAGGAGTTTTGGATGTTTAGGGTGGGGTTTGGCGGAGTGGGAGTTGGTTGGCAGAACCCTTAGGTCCGAAGTTATTTTGGCCTCTCGGGTTGAAGGACTTGGAATTCTCATTAAAATGGATCATAATGTTTGAACGTAAGTCCTTTGGTTTTTGCGAGGGTGTGGGAGATGGGGGAGGGTATGTATGGCCAAGCCCGGATATAACATCCTTCCGGTCTTCAAAAGAGTTTGTCCTCAAACTCGGAAGATCTTCAAAATCCTCGTACGGGCTAAGATCTCTTAGATGGAATGTGGCAGCAACTTTTAGACCTCGTGTAAGATCAACCACGTAGGAGTTTTTGTGAGCCTTTGCCAATACTTCAAACGGGCCATCGTCTTGGGGTTGTAGCTTTGACTTGCGTTTATTGAATAAACGCGCCTTATGAACGTGAACCCATATTACGTCACCGGGCTGAATGGACCATTTCGAGTCATGACTCTTTTCAATCTTCTTTTCATACGGCCCTGCAAAAACTCAACACAATTGGTACGAAGTACCGTTAACGAAGATAGGCCTCGAGCAGAGGTTTCCGCGTTAAGAGTGACGACTTCTTCGTGGGTCTTCTCTTCTTGCTCTTTTTATTTTATCTCTGTAACCCAAAACGGGTTATCCTCTGCGTCTTCAAACACTTCTTCATTCTCTTTGACAAGTTCTTCATCCCAAATGGGATCACAGTCCTCGTCATCATATTCGTCCCAGATGATCTTTGGGGTAGTGGGTTGCATGGTTTTGGTAGCTTGAGAAGAAGGTAGTTCGGACTTAGAAAAATGGGTAGCAAAGGTCGGAGTTTGAACCATGAAGAAAGATGACTCTTCAAGGGTACTTTTGGGGGTTTGTGGTAGGCTTAAAGATATGACTTTGGGAACGGATTGGGGTGGGGACGTTGGACCGGAGTTAGGCGTGTGTTGGGCATTTTGTGGAGGGATGAGGGGCATGGTTTTGGAAGAGTTTGGAGGCAGGGGTATTGAGAGGGTTTTGGGGTTCTTTTGGGCAGGGGTTAGAGACAAAAAAGAGGTGGTTATTGAGGAGTATTGGGGCATGGGTGTTGAGGTGATATTGGGGACAATTTGGGCAGTAGTTGTGGAAGGTAATGACATGGTGTTAAGTTGTTTTTGAGCCGTAGGTGTGGGAGAGGTTTGGTGAATATTTTGGGCAGTAGCTAAGGAAGAAACATAGATGTGTTTAGATGGTGTTTGAAATGTAGGTGTGGGTGATGGAATGGGGATGGCTGTGGCCGTGCGTAGGGTGCTTGCTCTTGGTGTTTTTGGAGTGGCTTCATGGGGTAGTTTTTGTGGAGACAAAGGCATGGTTGGGATATGAGTTTTAAAGGGGTTTGGGGGAACCATGTGATGGTAATCTCTCGGCAAAAATCTCTTGATCAAAAGCATGGAACAGAGATGGTCGCCCCTAGCATGTTAGGGGTGAAATGGGGGTCTTATCAAGTTGATAATTTAGTGGCGGATTTAGTGGAGGGTGTTTTATGGCTATTATTTAGGTAAAAATGGGGGTTGTTTTTGGCTAATAAAAGGGGGCAGGGATGGGGGATATAATGTGTGGTTTTGGACTTATAGGTTTGGGTTATTTGTTAGGGAACATGGGCAGGAATGAGTGGCTAGTGGTGGGTCAGGGTTTTGGCTCAGCTCTTTGTGGGTGTTTATGTTGGGATTGTTAAGTGTATTTTGGCCAGGGGGTGAATAGAATAGAGGGAGGGTTTTATTTGTTGAATAAAAGGCTTAAAAGAAGGAAAATAACAACAAACAAAAGGTTTTATTTTACGCACCCTTATTTTCGGCCATGGGCTAAATAAAGTGTAGGAAAACTTTATGTTTGAAAGGAATTAAATCGAAAGGAGTTTTGGATGTTTAGTGTGGGGTTTGGCGGAGTGGGAGTCGGTTGGCAGAACTGTAACGCCCCAAAATATACCCTAGAATTATTAATAAATAAACAATCAATTAATCAAATTTTTTTTAATTAAGAATAAATGTTTGTTGGGCTTTGGGCCAAAATGAAATATGTTTGAATATTGAATATTACCATCAGGATAAGTCTCATAGAGATAAATCCAAAATATTGACTAATTATGTGATCTTGATTGGGAACCTGTGTACAGACCCAAATCAAGAATATATGAAGAAATTATTATGATGTGAACTTTGAAATGATTTATTGAAATAAATCATTAGAACAAATTATATGAATTAATTCTGAGAAACCTTTTTGAATAAAGATCAACTAAATCAATTTTGACTCTGTCAAAGTCAAACACCCAAAAATATGATGTCGGAAAAAGTATTACAAATAAATATAAAAATTATATCAATAGATAGAGTTTAACTGCCCGATGACAACGGTGCAAACGGAAGTCAATTCGGAGAAAGTTGAACCAAAAAGTGTACCCCAACTGGAACCAAAATTGGTCCCAATCAGGGACACTGTGCGAACGGCACCTCCCAGCGCACTAAGCCGATTGTGAATCTTCCTACGCTCACCAGTGTCTTCTTCTCCCTCAAATCCACTATATAAAGGGAGCTAAGCATTCTCAATTCTTCACCAAAACATATACTTCCTTCTTCTATTCTATTGCTCAAATTAAGGAGAACGCTGTAGTGCTGTCAATTTGGTGAGAGGTCGCCGGAGTTGGGAGTAATCGTCACCGGAAGATTCGCCGGAAAATATTCAAAACCTTCATTTACCTTCGAGGTAAGCCCGTAGATATATCTAATGACTAGAATGTTCGTATAGATCGTTTCTACGTTCATAAACGCTCGTTTGGTTGACTTTTGTGTTTGACATGCTTGAAGAACCAAGAATCATAAACCATGGAATTGATGTTAAAACTATGAATTAATGATGCCAAAATGATCTATGAACCTTGGAGAACATCTCTATATAGTTTCGTTGAAGTTCGATAACTAAAAACGGTATTTCCGAAATTGGACCCGAACGAAGAAGAAGATGAACAGTGGCTGAAACACCACTGTCTGGATCGATCCAGGGGCTTGGATCGATCCCCTGGGAGTGATTTTTCATAGTATGGATCGATCCAGAGGGCTGGATCGATCCCCCGAAGT